TGTGGCCTCCACAGTCTTGTCTACCTTTCTAAAGCCATAATCTGAGGCCCACCTACCAGTTAGCTACATATTCACCTACAGTGGAGCACCTACAGGGACATCACTCGAAGAAGAAGAGGAAGTTACTCACGTTGGTGTAGTAGAGACGGTTCTTCAAGATGTGTGTCCCCGTGGGTACTCCACTGTATGTGTCCCGGTGTTGCAGATCGGAGTTTTCTTGAGCAGTGATCTGCTGGACTGAGCGAGACATCAAAAGGGCACAAACGTTGCGAGGCATGTGCCGTGCATGCACGGTCTGGCAGGTCACTGCTCAAGAAAACTCCGATCTGCGGACGACCTGACACCTACAGTGGAGCACCCACGGGGACACACATCTTGAAGAACTGTCGTTACTGCGCCAAGGTGAGTAACTTCCTCATGTGTTGAAAGAACACTTTTTTCTGAGGGTTGGTGCCGTGTACACCTGCCAAATTTCGGAAAAGCTTCTTTTGAAAGAAAATTGGAAAAAGATACACAATTTGCATGCCACAAATTGCGTTTCTTTTTCCAACTTAACATTTCAGTGTAGACCTAGCCTTAGACTAACACATCCAGTTCTTTCAATATTCCCTCATAGGCCATGTTTTCTAGAATTTTAATAATTTTTGTTGGTCTTCTCTGGACCTTCTCCAATTTGTCCACTTCTTTCCTGAAATGTGGAGCCCAGATCTGGACCCAGAACTCCAGTTAAGGCCTAATTAGTGAAGAGTAGAGCAGAATAATTACTTCCTGTGTCTTGCTTACAAACACTCCTGTTTAGAAATCCCTGGAAAGTACAGTGTGATGAATTAGACTGGTTGTAGTCTATGCAGTTATAGTTTACAATCTAGATACTGAAAGCATTCTAAAAAAGAAAGTTTGGTTAGGTGGATTCTAATGTCCATGGTGGGTATGAAAGAAATGCAGTAAAATTGTGGGAAGTAAGTAGGTAGAAAATCCAGAAAATGCAGTATAAGGAATTGTGGACATGGCGCAGAGAACCATCTACACTGAAACCCTAGATAACTTTGCTACTTCCACACTGTACAGTGAGGGTAAGGGAGTAGTTGGTCACAGCTCAGTATACAAATGTGAGCTAGTACACCCCCAGATGTGGGGTAATGACTTTGTCATTATAAACATTCTGGGCAACAGTGCACAGCAAGCTTGCACTATTGACATACCTGAGTGGAAATTTATGTTAAGATAACCCAGAGCAGCATTGTGGGCAGCCCAAAGGAAGCTTTCTTGTGGAATACAGCAGGGTTTTGTTAATTGCTTAATTTATAATGAAAGGTGTCAGGGCTCAAGCCATTTTTTCACATTCACAAATGAGGGTACGTCTACACTACAACATTAATTCGAACTAACTTAGTTCGAATTAGTTAGTTCGAATTAGCTTAGTTCGAATTAACACGTCTAGAACTAAAAACTAGTTCGAATTAGCGTTTTGCTAATTCGAACTAGCAAGTCCACATTAAGTGGACCCTGAACAGGGCTTAAAGGTGGCTGGAAGCAGTGCCGGCAGGGCATAAGAGGAGGACTTAGAGCGTGGAGATGCTGTCTCAGGCTAGGCGAGGGCTGTGCTTAAAAGGTCCCAACCCCCACCCCAGACAGACAGTTCTCAGGGGTGCCCCGCTTGCAAAGCAGTCCTGGCTTGGATTGCCCGGACTA